ACATTTTGCCCCAAGGAGCGAGTTTACTGGGCAGCGACACTCATCCTGTGAGTGGACACACCGCCATAGCAGCATGTACAACACTCCCCAATAGGAAGAAAACCCGCTGGGTTGTTCATCCTGTCACTTGTACCCAGACACAGCTGGGACTTGCTTAACTGTCGCAAGTGAACAGCTCCTCAAACAAGATGATTAATATTTGTCATCCCTTAAAAACTTACGTTATCTTGCTGGTGCAAAATGGGGGAATCTTTTGAGAACAGCATTTATATTTGACAGATAGTATTTTCCTAATTCAAATATTATCGGGTTTACTATGCTACACTCATTTTTAATGTCTCTTAGATGTTCACATTCTCTCAGGTAGTGGTCAAGGCGGTGTCCATCACTCTCACCACAAATTCTACAACTCCGCTGCTCAGCTGTTGTTTCCATTCCAAATCTCCATGGATATTTGTATCCAAGACGGATTCTCGCTATTACTTATTCTCTCCCGCGTTGTCCTCCTCCTCTTCGTCCATAATGATTGGGATTGCCAGCTGCAACCATGTACCATCGTACAGATTCACTGGTTTGTGCTTCTATCCTCCTTTCCTCAGTTACCTTGTCACGGTGATGTTGCCTGACAATACCTCTAATTTGTAGAAGAGTCTTGGGTATGTAGTATTCAATGTGGTCTCCTTCAGCGCCTTCAGCAGCCAGCACATCTGCTCGTTCATATCCACACAGGGCAACATGGGAGGGAATCCACAGAAATTTGACGACTTTTCCCCAATGGGTTAGTACTCTCACAGCTCTCTTGATTTCAGCGACTATCGCAAGGTTTTCTTCCCGATTTTTATTAAGGCTTTATAGTGCTGTTTTTTTTAATTAGTGCAGATCACTGCACCGTTAGTGTTTCTTTCAAGAAATCTTAACGTCATAACAATGGCAATTAGTTCCGTTTGCGTTGAAGAAGCATAGTTCTCAATAGGGTTTTTTTTCAATTGTGCTTTGAAAAGCATTATTCCTAATTACAGTGTATGCTGCCCCAGCCTTGCCATTAGCACGATTCGATGACCAATCAGTGTAGATTTGATCTAATTCATTCATTAGATTTGATCTGATAAGAAGCTGATTCTTTATAAATTACCTCAAGATACGTATGCCTCATTTCTTGTGGTATCATTTTGGATTTTTTCGTTGTCATCTCGTTGATGATAATCCTACATGGGGTCATCCTGCCAGGGGAGGTAACCTCTCTCCCGCCAAACACACACCGAAACTACGACGTTGGTACAACGTTCGAACAAGTTTTAACACCTCCTAACCAGTTATAACAACCAATATATCAAGTTGTAACAACGTTCTAATACGTCCTAAACACGTTAAGCCAAGATGTAACAACTTTATTACAAGTTGTAACATGCGGAAAATAGAGACAGTTACGGTTTGTGTTTCCAGGGCTACAGGCAGGAGCTCACGAGCTTGCTCAAGCAGGTGAAGGGCTTCCAGGTAGTAGACTGACCGGTATTGGCATTTTCTGCTTCTCCTGTTTCCTCCTGTGAGTGTACATCCTTGGCCGTAGTGACCCTGTGGTCATACGTGGCCGTAGTGACCCTGTGGTCATACGTGGCCGTAGTGACCCTGTGGTCATACGTGGCCGTGGTGACCCTGTGGTCATACGTGGCCGTGGTGACCCTGTGGTCATACGTGGCCGTAGTGACCCTGTGGTCATACGTGGCCGTAGTGACCCTGTGGTCATACGTGGCCGTAGTGACCCTGTGGTCATACGTGGCCGTGGTGACCCTGTGGTCATACGTGGCCGTGGTGACCCTGTGGTCATACGTGGCCGTGGTGACCCTGTGGTCATACGTGGCCGTGGTGACCCTGTGGTCATACGTGGCCGTGGTGACCCTGTGGTCATACGTGGCCGTGGTGACCCTGTGGTCATACGTGGCCGTGGTGACCCTGTGGTCATACGTGGCCGTGGTGATCTTGTGTACCCTCTTAGCTTGCTGACCTGTTGAGCTTCATTGTTTCTACTAATAATTTTAAGATTTATTCATCCTAAATTTCATTAAAAAATAAAACAGAATCATCTAATTTCCACACCGTAGTCCCCCACTGTGGTCTAACTCTCCTAGAACGGTACTGTCTACAAATATTTACCGGAATTTACTGGCGTCGACGGGGACGGGAAGCCAGTGGCTTGTCAAAGATCCCCCCATTTTTCATAAAAAAAATCCAACTGGATTTTGAGCTGCAGCAACGTATTATCATTTACAGCTTCGGCAGGTAAGCGGCTCCACACGAAATTTTGACATGAAGAAAAAGAAAGTATATTTATTCAACTATCTACCTCTGGTGCGCCCACACCTGGACTCCACCGAATCACCTTCTGTGGTTGATTGTTCAATGAACCCCTGAACTATGTGTTTAGCACATCTCTAACCCTGTCCATGGAGGACAGAAGAAAATGTATATATGCTGATTAGCATTGTAAATGTGTGGCCACGTCTGTGGTAGAAAATAATAATAATAAAAAAACGCCTGGATTATTGTATCCAAGCATGGAAACTTGATCTTCAGAAGGACATATATGCTTTGGAGAAAGTTCAACGCCGGGGGACTAAAATCAATTCTAAACTTAGTCGGCTCTCACACCAGGAACGGTTGAGCTCCACAGGACTAACAGCACTACAAACGCAGCGCTAGCCTCAATGAAACTTTTAATATACTGAACAATTTGGAGAATGTTGATCCAAACAACTTCTTCAAAAGGTCAGTTGTAACACGAGTAACGAGCAAAGGTTTCAAGCTCAACAAGCCACAATGCAGGACGGAAAACTTGCCCAGTTCCCGTGGTGTAGTGGTAAGACACTCGCCTGGCGTTCCGCGAGCGCTTTGTCATGGGTTCGTATCCTGGCCGGGGAGGATTTACTGGGCGCAAATCCTTAACTATACCTCTGTTTAACGCAACAGTAAAATGTGTACTTGGTTGTAACAACGATTCTTCGCGGCGGGGATCGTATTCCAGGGACCTGCCCGAAACGCTACGCGTACTAGTAGCTGTACAAGAATGTAACAACTCTTGTATATATCTCAAAAAAGGAAAAAAAAAGGAGATGCTGCTTTACCCATAGAACTATAAACCTACGGAACAGCCTACCCATGTAAAGCCGTAAATGTCAAAATGCTGTTGAATTTTAAATTCCAGCTATACAAAATTATGACAGTTGGGGGCACCTTCGACAAGCCGATGGCTTCGTGTCCTCGTCGAGGCCACTAGAGTGTTAATGACCCTCGGGTAAATATAATATAATATAGTATAACAACTCATCCTCCTGTTTAGATAGTTCCTATTGTGACGATCGGCAATAGTCACGAATTAGTACGTTCTTAGCTTTAAGATAGTAGTATATTGACTAGTAAGGAATTCTTTTCAAATAAATGAAACTAAAAAATAAACATAAATATTCCTAGGCCTAGTATAGTACACATATGTACTATATTAGGCCTCAGATCTCGTGTATTAGGTCTAGGAAGGTTAGGTTAGGTTAGCTTGTCAAAGCAACACAAGAAAAAAAAAATAGTTTTCCAGTTTGTCCAACTCAATAGTTCAGATTTCGACTTTCTAATTGCGTTGTACGTCGGTGTATATACTATGGTCCTCATCATTACTATAAGTACTACCAAAACAGGAAGATGGGCTGTATAATATAATTCCTTCATCAATATAATTCTCTCTTATCGGCACCGTTTCCTACAGCTCTTGTTATATACGTTAGTCATTACCTAAATTTCGAAATAAAGTATATGCCTACATGATAATTAGTATCCAATCGCTTTAATTTTAAATTACTGCCAATTTTCAGCTCCGAGTTGGGCATAAAATCTATGCCCAACTGATCAGTTGGCAACCAGGAAGCCTGGTCGACGACTGGGCCGCGGGGACGTTAAGCCCCGGAAGCACCTCAAGGTAACCTCAAGGTAACCTTTTCAATTACTTATTTTCCCTGCAATAGTTGCTGTCCTGAACCCCACCTAGGACATGCTGTGGTAAATCCTTGTTATTCAAATTGAAATAATATATTAATTAAATAGTTTATGGATGAGAAACATTGATGAAGTTAATCCCTCACAACCGGTGCCTAATATGTTTATGATAATAGTTACCCATATAACATGTCAAAAAGTGATAAAAGAAAACGAGTCTTGCTTTTGAAAGAAAATGAATTTCTTTTTGCGGGTGTCTTAATTAATTTTATTTTATTGGAATCTGAATTTACCTGAAGGCCACTAATACTAGTAACTCCGACGAGGACAGGAAGTCGGCGGCTTGTCAAATGTCCCCCCATTTACCCTGATGATCTTATCCAGCTGTATTTTAAAACCCAGCAGAGTTTTGGCGTTTACGGTTTCGGCGGGTAGGCAGTTCAACGGGTGAAAAAGCATCTCCTGTTTTCAGTCCTATATTGTGGCTTGTTGAGCTTGTACCCGTTGATCTGATTTGTTTGGTATTGTTGATTTCGAAACTAAGTATGATTTTTTTTAATTATATGTGAAAAGTAAACAATACCAATTGGAATTGGAATTTAAAGGAAATACGATTCATATTCCCAAAAAGGCATTCATTTATATCTTGAAAAAAAAACTAATACAGGGTTCACCAAACACAGGGTTCATCTTCTTTACTCATCCAAACCCCCTCTCAAAAAGGGTTATAAATCCTTGAATGGGGGCACCATTCAAGCTTGTTCACATTTGTGTTACTCACGTGGCTCCAACATGCGAGGCGATTCCATGAAATATCTGTACCCAAAAACCCAAAATTGACCACCAAGTGCTGTTGGGGATTGAATTAAGGGTCTGACGACTTCCAA